TTTAACTTGGGTGGCTCTGAGGTAGCTGTTTGGGATTGCATTACAATCAGATCCTTTATGCAAGGTTAAATGACTGAAAATTGTCCTTTTCAGAATTTCAAACAAACTGCCATTCCTTTCAGTATGATCTCTCTATCAAAAGCTTTTCCAAAGTTCATACAATTCACACAGAGCTTCCACTCAGAGGGGAACTCCTTCAGGATTTTGAAGTTAGGCCTGTGCTAAATTCAAGCCCATCTTTCTCAAAATCAGATCACTCAATTCCAAATTAGATGTTTGCTAATTCCGTTATCTAACAATATTCTTGACAGGAATTGGGCAGTATAGAAATGTCTCGTTCCAGATTCTTCCTCATCTCTCCAGCTCTTACACTTTGAAATACCTAATTTCAGATTAGGTATTGAAACAAAAGATCTTTCTCCTCCTGCGAGGGGAGGGACATCTTCCTCTTCCCAGATTATACCTAGAATTCATTCATTTTGGTATAGACTACTACTCACTTTGATGAAGGATTAAAACACTATTTATAGTAGGTGCTTAAAACCAGGCTTCCTGAACCCGTGGAAAACAAATGCGCCAGATTTTATTCTTTTGTTCTTTTAATAAACTGTCCGTGAGATTCTTCCCCTCCCCTCCTTTCCTGCTGGTTTACTTGCATTCTTATATGTTCAGTGTTTTGCTCTTCTGTCTTTGTTCCAGTTTATCAGCAATTTACACACAGTTGTTTCCCAGACTCCATGATTTGGACAGCAAAAATAACACTGACCTTTTGAGCCCATGAGCAATCGTGTTGGTGGTAATTTAGCAGAAAGTTACAGTAATGAACAAGAACTCTGCTTTTAAATGTTAGATCACTAAATGTGTTTTATGAGTCTTTATTACTTCTTTAATGCACTTCCTGTGCACCAGGGAGACAGCCATATTCTGGGGAAGATGAAGTTTTTAATTGGTAAAGTAGCCAATTTGCAAATCTCCTCTGCTTTAAGGATACATTTTCAGGTGTGATTCAGTCAAAGCAATCAAGGAAAATGTTTCTAGCTAGAAAGACAACAACAGAAGGGATCTTTCAAAGATATATTAACTCTGAAAACTGTGAGCTGGGCTTTTCCTGTGGGAGGGAGGGGAGAGTCCTAAAAACTTAGATTTCACTGCCCGGATTTGGGGCTGCCTGGGGACTGCTTTGGTCCCAGGCATGCCTGAGAGCAGACAAAATGTATTGTCAACAATAAACTTCCTCAGTTTTCAGCCACTTCCCCTCACCCAGCCTTCAGAACAGCAGGAAGCCAAAGCAGAGGACACAAAGCCAATTGGATGAGGTTTGTAATTTGGCTCTGCTGCTCTCTAGGTGATTGTACCTATGGCTGTTGCAGAGTTCACAGTTAAGACAGGTAATCTAAATGTAGGCTGGAATTCTCCATCCATATCAAAATCCTCAAATTCACTTTGGCTTAAGTTCACATACAGACCCATTTCTAAAACTGATAACAGTGCTTGTAAGGATTTAAGTAGAATTAGGAAGAGAGCTTTGTCTGTAAAAAACCCAAACCCCAAAAGCCCCACCAGAGTTAAGTGTTATTAGCAAGAGGTCATGGTACAAAGGAGTGACTTTAAAATGGAGAATTTTGGTTTTCCTTTACCACAGCACCCTTAAACCAAAGCACAGAGACAGGAAGGTTACCGACTCCCTTCTTTTAGCTGTGTATTAAGCAGCCTGAAGCTTGTGTTTTATCTTCTCTCTATATTTTAGAACTTCTCCTCTCCTACACTTCTATTATGCTAATTCCCCTTCACTGCCTTTCTCTTAAACTTGAAATGTTTTGAATCAGGTGTGTTTCGAGATAATTGTGTTATATTTCCACATGAAGCAAGGGAATTTGTATTGGAGGTGAAGCAATGTAAAGACCTGATTGCAGTGGAATTCAGTACTTTATTTTGTGGCCACTGGAAGAGGACATTGCAGAAGATAATTTTAAAGGGTATTGCAGCATTAGAAAAGCAAGCTTAGCCAGAGCACCAACATCATGTGCCCTTGCAGGACACATCTGTGTCCACCCCAATCCCTTGATAGGGGTCAGTGACCAGCAGCACGACACTGGGGGTATCTGAGGCAGGTCCTGGATTAGGGACATGAGTTAATAATTAATTCAGCTGCTCTGGGGAACTCTGTGTGACCAATTTCAAGGATTGACATACAAAGAAAGTGTCAGAAACGTGATTCCCATGATGATAGTAGCAGGGCTGGTAAGAAGCTGGGTGTTTCAGAGGGAGGACATATACTGCCACTGCCTCAGGAAGGACAGACAGAAATTCTGTCTCTAATCCTCCCTATGAGCACTGGTTTGTGATGCTGTGCAGCCTTTCCTCCTATCTTGGGCTACAGCAGAAAGACTTTGTTTGTTTGTTTAAATCTTTTCTTGGGTCTTTCCCAATTTTAGCCTGAACTCCAGATATTTGGCTCTTAAATGAATTCTCCAGGGTGCTTCTGACTAATGCCAGGGTGCTATTGTGGGCTTTTACAGGAACTCTTGGGAACAGTTGCAGCACAGAGTTGTGGACCAGCACTAGCAAAGCCCAGGTTTAGCTCTGTGATGGTGCCTGTGCAATGCAGGGTTTCAGCACAGAAACACACAAGAACTGTTTCTGCACAGATTGCACTGTGTGGTCTTGACTTCTCGACTTTATGGACCACCCTGCCTGAGGGCAATGGAGATGAAAAGCATGTGCACTTCAGAACTGTTTTGCAGGACTTTCCCCTCATTTTGAAGGGCTTTTGTTCCATAAAATACTTATTTTCCTCTAAATCACTTATTACAGTTTGGGTTCATACCAAAAGATTCAGCTGTTTCCCAAACCAGTTACTTGGTCCAGGTAAATGCAGAACTGAGAAGAAGTTTAAATACAGAGGTTTGAAGAAGTCAGAATCAGCACTGGGATCTGGATTCGAGCATCCTACTTAACAGATAATTGCAATGACTGAGGTAGAACATTCAGACTTAAATCCAAGCCCTCTAATATGCTTTGTCTGGGATATGGAAGGCATCTTCCTTTATTAGGTTACTTTCCTGCTCAACATTAACATTTCGTGCTTTGAAGGTTTATTGTGTTGGCTGGAGTTATACCTTTATATACACACAGTCCCTATGGAATAGCCTGGTCTCCTTTCATCATTATTAGTAATTCTAGGCTTGTCATTTCCTATCCATGCAGTCTGGACCTCACCACGCTGTTGCAGGATGGTTGATACGGTGCACAGGAAATGTTCTGTTTTTTCAGGTCTCCACTGTTCCTAAGTATTCTTTTCAGGGGCTTCAGTTTTATTGCCATGAAGTCCATTTCCTACATGTAGTACAATTTACTAAATTACAAATAAACAAGGCACCAATAGAGAAGTCAGTGAAAGTTCACACTAAGAATAGAACTTAAAGAGAAAAGTTCAGTTATGTGACCTTCTTCAGGAGCTGGATACAAAATAGACCTGCTGTTTTTCCCTTTAATTTCCAGTCCAGGCAGAAAAGAACTTGAACAGTTCCCAGAGAAACCCAGGCCCTTCTGTTTGTTTCTATGAATCCTCCAGAAATGCTTTATCTGTTGACATCCTGGCTATGCTGATACGGAAATGAACTTACTTGGCCTCCTCATTTCCCCCCTACATTGTCAGCTGACTTTGTCATTGATCTCTCTCCCTGCAATGTTTAAAGATTTGGCAGCCATGGACAGAACAAAATGTTACGGATAGGTACCTTTAAAATTGCCTTTTAAAGAAAATTAGGATAATCAGATTAAAAATCTAATGTACGTATCAGTCACTGCTTATTATTGTCATTCAGAAACATGTTTGGGAAAGAAAAGTAATTTCACTGAAAGTTTTTTTGGTTAAAAAGGGTGAATTAGAGAGAAAGAATTACATGTCTCCAAACGCCTTGATGAAACCATACTACCTCTGGACACTTTCTGCCTAAAGTTAAATATTAGACACTCTCTCCCTGACGTTATTTTTTTTTTTTTTTTGTTTAGTCTAAAAGGCTTAATATTTAACTCAAAATACCTAACAACTGCAAATGTTAAGTGCTGAAAGTTGTTACATCCTCCAGCAGATACATAAAGCAGTGCTTAAACTCAGTGGGATATATTTAGAGAAGTGAAGCCATCCCTGGACTTGGTGTTCCACTCGAATGAGAAATCTGGTTGCTATGTTGTGAACTTGTGTGTGTTTTGAAGCAGAAGGCATGGCCAGTGCTTCAGTGGGAAAATCTGCTTTAAACAGGGTGTCTGCCTTGGAGCTGCAGAAGGAAATGGCCTTTATTTGGTGCATTTTTATTTTGTCCCAGACCAAGGTCTTAATTGGTTCAATCCTTTATCTGACGTTAAGTCTGGTTTTGGGATGGATTTCCAATTATAATGGGCCTCAAAATCCATGTTAAACTCAAAGTTAATTATTACTGGCTCCTGTTCAGAGTTTTACTGCAACTTCAGTGGACACACACATATCCCTGAGAACCACTGCCTTTTTATGACTTATTTCCAAGCCTTTTTGTTGGGCAGGTATCACCAGAAAAAGCTCCTAAAGATGTTCTACTTTTAGATGTCTGAAGCACAAGAGTTGCTCCAGAAGTGGCAAGAAGCCAGGAATGGCCTCATCTCCTCAACATCCCATGGGGTGGACGGATGGAACCAGGGCTGATGATCTTTTTCCTTTCCTTCTTTTTCTTTCTTTCCTCTTCTCCTTCTCTCCTTTTTCCCCCTTTTTCTACTCTGTGTTATAGAGTAGGTCAGGGACCAACATAATGGATTTCTAAGTGACTTTTTGTGGACTTGGTTGTTCTTTTCCACTACGAACACTTACAAGTCCCGCGCTCTCCCTCTTCCCTCCCCCACCCCGTCCCTGAGGGACCGTCCCGCCAAAACCCGTGAGGGGAGCGAGGCGTGGCCGACGGGGCCGCCCGGGGCAAAGTGCAGGGGCCGCCCAACGCCTGAGGGGCTGCGCGCGCTCGGGCTCCGCCATGGCGGCAGAACTGGAGTCGCTGGAGCTGTGCCTGGAGCGGCACATCCCGCCCGGGGAACTCGCCGAGGTGAAGCGGATCCTCTATGGGGGCGAGCCCAGGTGCGCCACCAGGACGGGCTCGCCCCTCGCTCTGCGGGTTTCCGTCCGTCCCTCCTCTGGGCGGCCTCCGCGGAGATGCCCAGCCCCAGTGTGAGGGGAAGGAGGCAGTTATGAGGGGGGGTGTGCGAGACACAGGGCTGGGCTGAGGGGAAAAAGGAAAAGTAGGGCTGGTGGTGCTGCAGTGAGGTGACTGAGGGATTTTGGAGGTGATCCAGGTGAGGGGAGCAGGGCAGTGTGAGAAGATGTCGGACAGGGATGGAAGACATGACGGGAATAGTGATAGTGGGGCGATGGAGCGTGAAGAATAGGTATTAAACTTGAGGGAAAGACATGCGAGGGAAAGTGTTTGTAATCCAGGTATGGCAGATGGAATTTTGCGTGTGTGCTCCTTGATTTCTGCAGCAAAGTGTTAATGTCTGGGAATGACAGGAGGACAGTGGACAATGGGTGACATGGGGCATGGGAGCTTGGGTGTCTCTGCAGGGTAAGGCAGAATTGTCATTCCCTTGGTCCTCTGCATTCTCAACAGAAAATGAGAACATCTCATCTTGAAATGTCTTTGTTTCCTGTTCAATCCAGAAAACTTGATTTGCCAACTGCTGCGCTGTCAGCAGCTCAGGAAAAAGATTTTGAACTACAGGGCTATGGATTTGAAGCTGCTCTGGAGCAATTGAGAAGGCCACGAATTGTTCGAGTGGGACTGATACAGAATAAACTTCCTCTTCCCACAGACACAGCAGTGGCAGTCCAGGTACACAGACTGGGACTGTTTTTATCTCCTCTTCTGCTGGATTGAAACATAACACAGTTCTATTGTTGATTTTAGGAACTTAGCATGAAATGTCTTAATGATTGTCTGGCAGTACAGGACCCATCACTACTGCAATAGAGCATTCTGTAAGAAATTTGAGTGACACGTTTAGTTTTGTTTCTCAGAAACACCTCTTATATTTACCTAGCACACCCAACCTGCTTGCAGCTTTTCCAAAGCTAAATATTAGGGGCTCATTTTACACATGAAAATCCTTTGCCTCTAAGATGAAACACAAAATCATTTACACGAAATCAAAAGGGACGGCAACCAGTGGAAACCACAGGTGCAGTTCTTGTTTTAATTGAGAAATGTTCCATTACAGGAAAATCCATTAAAGGAAACAGATTAATAAAGCTGTGTTCATTATTCTTCGTACAGCAGTGAAATCTTATTACAAGATAACATGGTTTAGTGGTGACTTGGCAGTGCTGGGTTAATGGCTGGACTTGGTTGATGATTTTAGAGGTCTATTCCAACATTAATTATTCTGAAACCATCATCTCTTAATATCTTGGACACAGCAGCACTGAAGTGACAAATCTGTATAGAAATAGTCTCCTGAGAGTAGCTTTAAAAAAAGGGAAAGAAAATACTGCATTTACAAAACCTCCTGGAGTAGTTTTGTACAGGGACAGGACAGAACACTTCTGAAGTAGTTTGTTTTGGAAAGATTACCTATCACAGATGCAAGTCATTAATTCAGTGGACAGATCAAGTTGGGGATTCTTTGTAACAGCTGTTGAATAAAGTACCAGCTGTATTAATGATTTTACTTTATGAATAACTAGTTAACTGTTTCTGTAAATCAGTGTACAGTTTTTGATTTCATAGGTCACTGTAGTTTTGTTTTTAGTAATTTTTTTTGAAACCTGAAAGTAGCAATGCAAAGTACTACACCTGTGCTTATCTTTACATAGAATATTCTAGAAAACTAATTAATAAATACTTTGATGATTTTTCTTGGTAATAATTATTTAGCTCTTAGGACAGAGGGCTTAACATCATCCTGTAGATTGTTTACAATGAGCAGCAAAATTATATTTTTTATTAATTCTGTTTAGATTTTCAGCTTTTTGCGAGTCAGGCAGCACTGAATTTCCAGCTATATAAATGTTGCAGCCATGGAATTAGAATCCCATTGGAATGCTTTCTCTATTCTCAGCATCTAAATGTTTTTAAAAATCTAAATCTGGCTGTATTATCAGTGTTCAGGGATGATAGCTGAGTTACTCCCCCTGAAAGCAATGGCTCTAAGTGCAGAACAGGCGAAGTCAGTGTGAGCACAGGGTGTAAAGCAGGCAGTTGGCACGGAGGTGAGTTAAGCACGTGGCTTTTTAACGGTGTGACATTTTAACGGTGTGACATTTGTCACCGCCAGGTGGCTGCTCTGCACAGACGCATCGAGGAGATGGTGGGAGTGGCTGCCATGTGTGGGGTCAACATCGTGTGCTTCCAGGAGGCTTGGAGTGAGTATTGCCTATGCTTCCCTCTGGGCTCTCAGATGTTCCAGTGCTCTCTATTTTAGCAGCTGTGCTGTAAATGAACATAGAAATTTCCCAAGATACAACAATTGGCTTCAGTGATTTGCTTCCTGAAGGAAAAACCAAAGAGTCTGAGGTAGCAGAACTCTATGAGGGGTCTGTTGTATTGAAGACTGCCATGTGGTATTTGGAGCTCCTTCATGGCATCCTTTATGATGCTTTCCTCATTATTTTTCTCCTAAAACGTTGGGGTTTTTTTCTAGAGAGGTATTACAATTTAAAAATTGTTTTTAATTTACATGTGGCGTCTGAGGCTTAATTGAGGCAAACCCCTTCACTTTAATGGGCAAGTGAAGGCCATGAAATGTTTGTGAAGGCAGGTTGTTCACAGTGTACACCATGACTGGGATATTTTGTCTTTTTACCCCTCTGAGGCTTCACTAAATGCATCCATTCTCTTCTGGTTTGCCCTGTGTGACCTCAGAACTCCTTGCCCTGGCTAAAAATATTTTTAAATAGCTTTTGCCATTAAACAAGGAAAACAGTTGAATCATTCTTAATGGTTTAATTTTTTTTATCTGTATTCATGCAAATATCATGTATTTCTTGAGTGACATGAACATTTTTGTACATTTACCTTGCTTTGGTGTTTTCCAGCCATGCCTTTTGCTTTTTGTACAAGAGAGAAACTTCCTTGGACTGAATTTGCTGAGTCAGCAGAGGATGGGCCAACAACCAAGTTCTGTCAAGAGGTAAAAAACCAACCAGGCAAGCAAAAAAAACCAAGACCAACTGACATCATTTGAAGGAAAAGACAACATATCAGTGAACTGGCAGGCAGAATTTGCTGTATTTCTGACTTGTACCTGTGTTAACATTTCTTTTATTTTAATTAGCTGTTTTCAGCTGGCTGTGGTGTCTGTCATTCTGGGGTGCTGCAGGCTGGTGTCTGATGGAGGAATTGTGTTTATTTGTGCAGCTTGCAAAGAAATACAACATGGTTGTGGTGTCTCCAATCCTGGAGCGAGATGAACTGCATGGTGGAGTTCTCTGGAATACTGCAGTGATCATTTCTAATTCTGGAGCACTCCTTGGCAAAAGCAGGAAAAATCACATTCCAAGGGTTGGAGATTTCAATGAGGTAAGGTGAAGGTGCAGTGTTGTGACAAACAGGTCAGTCTTACCTTGCAGCTCTGTTTGTGCCAGCATGTGTTGTGTCAGAGTCACAGTGGCAGGAAATGCAATGGGTTCTAGAAAATGTGGTCACTTGCTGTCAAATCAGTTTTTCTGAGGTGAACTGATAGTTAATTTATCAAGAAGGATTAATTTTTGTGAGAGTGATGAGTCTTAAAGGAAGAACAACATTAAATCTTGTTAGGTACTCTTCCTTGGCCCAGTGAAACTTCAAAAGTATCAATATCCTTTAATAAAAGGATTGTTTAAGTTACAGCTGTGTTATGGTTGTTGTGCATGATTGGCTTGGGTACTTTTGTCATGTGTGCACATTGAACTTACTTTAATTTGCAGGGCAATTGTTTCATGGTTCAAGCATGAACATTACTTCCAGCCTTTCTGTTTCTCTGGGAGGTTGTCTTGGCAATGACAGTTCTTTTGCTTGTGCTTATTCGAGCAGAATCCCTTAATTCATTGTGCCTCTGACGGAGTGGCTGCTTTATGGCATCTCCTGTTTGCTAATGGCATTATTGCAGCTGAAGCCCCCAGCAGGGTTTGGGCCATCCTCCAGGATCACAAACTGAACTGGCACTAAAGGCAGTGACTGGTACATCTGAAATGTGTTTATTCATCCAAACAATTATCACATGCAGAAAGATCAGGATTAGAAATTAACTGAAGTCTAAAAATACATTGTCTTACCTAACTAAATCTCTCCTTGTCAGCTAAAGTGAGTAATTAACAGAGGCATTTCTGCTAAGCTGGAGGCTGCTGTATACCTGCAGTAGCTTTTGTTCCCTGTCTGACTGCTCCAGTCATCAAACTGAGGCTTCAGAACTTTTTTATTAATGTAAAAGTTCTTCTGGGTGTCAAAACTTTGTGTTCAAAGACCTCTGGAAGCTTTGACCTTGCTCCCAGACCTGATCAGGCTGGTTTGAGTTTCTCCAGAGGAGGTTGTTAATAGAGTTCTACACAATGAATTTCTGGCACAGCCTGTCAGTCACCAGCCTTACCTTGTATTTTTAACACTTACTCTTACATTTAATATTATTTCATCAGGTCTGTCCTTTAGCTAGCAAAAGTAGTAACTAACAAATCCATTGGTTACTTTCCATATTTTTATTCTTTATGTAATCTAACAAAAAATAAATTCCTGTTGCTTGTGCTAAAATATGGTGTCTTTCAGTTTTCCTGACAGTGTTTAATGGAGAATCAACAGATTCCAAGAAACTTACTGTTTCCAGCTATGAAACTGTAATGAGAGACACCTAAAAAAAGAAAGAATTTTTACTTTCTCATGTGAAGTATAAATAGAACTTCACTAAGAGTTTTGCATAGTTGCTAAAAGAAATTGTTCTTAGAATCCTAAATGCCAGAATTACTACAAAACTATCAGTTTATAGCTTCTAGATATTCTAGAATGATCTGGCACTTTTTCTTGTATCTACTTGTTACAGAATCAAGTAGTGCTTACCCAAGACAGCACTGTATTCAGCTGGCTTTGGTAGCAAAGCATAAAGTCCACTCTTCTGAACTGAACAATTCTGATAAAGCAACTTCAGAAACCACCCAGGCTACAGGAAGGGATTATATTCATCTCTGTTACTTTAATGTTGTTTTCTTTATCAACAAAGTTAAACCTCAAGGAAATATCGAATTTGAAATTGTTTCTTGTGAGTTGTCTCTGTAGGGCAGATGGGAGAGGAGCCTTGTTAAAATCATGCCCAGTGAGTCAGTAAGAACTAAATGGAAAGGGCAGAGAGGTTGGTCTGTGGCCTATTCAGCCATGTGTGGGAGGCCTTACAAACAAAAATCAATCCTTCTTGAGACATCACAGTTTATTGCTGTGGAGAGGATTGTGACCTCTGGTGTGAAATAAAGAAATAGGAACTGATGAATTCCCTGAAGCAACAGCATTCTTGTTTTTCTTCTGCTGTTGTAGGAAAAGAAACTGAGAATAGCATGAAAAATGGAAATATATTCAAACAGCAGAATTGTTTTGAAAAAGACTTGTGTGAGCACCCACCATGTGGTCTGCTGTCTACAGACATGAAAGGAGATCAAATCACTGCCCAAGGGACTGTGCAATTTCATGAGAACTGATAATAAACAAGAAACATGAGATGAATATTTCACTGGACATACTGAACCTGTAGCCCTTGGTTTCAGAGGGTGACCCCCCTCTATCTGTCATGCCACTGGCCCACACTTACAGGGGCCCAGGTTTGTTCCCAGCCCTCAGGTGTTTCCACTTCCTCCAGGACCAATGGCAGTGGTGGTTACAAGAACAGATAATTTCAATAAAGAGGGGTCTGCTTTACAGCACACCTTCCTTCTGGGATGAGAGACGTGTCCTGTTGGGTCAGGGTGCTGGATTGTGTCCCTTGCTCTTCTGTCTCAGATCAGCACCAGAGGATGCTGTCAGGAATCAGCCTGGCCACTGCAGCTTCTGTGCTCCCTTGGGATCCTCAGTATTGTGTAAGGAATGTTGGGTGGCCTGTCTTGTCTCCTTATCTGTGTGTCTTTATCACTGTCTTTGTCCCTGTCTGAACCTGGTGATGGTACCTTCAGCACATTTTGGAAGTGCACTGCCAGCTACATAATTGTTTGAAAGCAGGTATAAGAGCGTAATTTCAGTGACTACACACTCCTGCTGCTGCCTTGGCATTTCTGTATCCATCTTTTCCACTGCCCAAGTGATTTTGTTAATCTCATCATATTATCCTCAGCCTTCCATCTACAAATTAAAAAGCTTTTTTAGTTGGAAATAATTCTTTGCACTTTTTAAAGAATGCCTCTCTGGGTTTTGTTGTTTGATTATATTTTTTCCTTTATTTTTTCTTTGTTTGTTTGTAGTCTACTTACTATATGGAAGGAAACACAGGACACGCAGTGTTTCAGACCCAGTTTGGGACAATTGCTGTGAACATCTGCTATGGGCGCCACCACCCTCTGAACTGGCTCATGTATAGCATGAATGGGGCAGAGATCATCTTTAACCCTTCAGCCACTATAGGGTCACTCAGGTAAAACACAAACTGGGCTGTGCCGTTGCTCCCCTTCTGAGCTAACTGAACCTCTGAGCTCCTCACTGGGGCCATAAGCACCTTGCTGAGGTCTTGGAATGTAGTCTCCTTGTTTTGTCTTTAAAAAGGAGCCTGCATTCTCCTCAGTGATAGGAGCCTTCTTAAGCCAGGTATCATTTGGAGGTCTGTTTTTCACCCAAGATAGCTCCACCAGGAATTTTGGGCTTTCAGTCTCCTCCCAGTAACTGATTCTCTTTGACAGCTTTGTTGTACATCAGCAGCTCTCCTGTCTTTGAGACAGTGTTCCCCAGCATCCAGCTGGTGCTGTGAAAACTGAGAGTTTATTTAGATTTTTTATGTAGTATTTTTGCTATACAGTAGGTAGTGGTCATGTTCAGGCTTATTTTACCAGCTTGCATTGTCCACCTAAGGAGTGTGGTATGAAATTGCAGTTTTCAGAACCAAGCTGAGATACCCTTTTTTCAGAATTTTTTTTTAAACTGTTGGCAATTTTATGATTATCAGGCCTCTTGAACCAGACTGGACCAGTGTGAACTGTCCCTTGAGATTAATCTTCTGCACATTAACATTAATTGCACCCGACTGACTTGATTTCCTAGAAGCTAACTGTGGCTGCTTGGACAGAAAATGTGCAGTGTGAGACAGAGTGTAGATGCAGCCCTGGAGTGTCAGATAATGAACAATTTTCTCTGTGTGTGCAGTGAATTAACACCTCTGTGTGTGTGTGTGTGTGTGTTGCAGCGAGGCACTGTGGCCGATCGAAGCCAGGAATGCTGCCATAGCCAACCACTGCTTCACGTGCCCCATCAACAGAGTTGGAACGGTTTGTATCCTCCTTGCCTCATCCATTCCATCATTCAGGCCTTGAGCAGGGGTTTGTTCAAGGCAGCATGGGTTCCCCTGCTGGGTAACCACTGTCCTGGGGTTTGTGGTGTGATTTGAAGATGGACAGTGATGAAGAGATTGAGAGCTGCCTCTGTTGCTGCAGCCTACTTTTTCGTTGCAGCTGTTTCCTGTTCTTGAATTGAATCTTTGTAATAGGCACCCACCCTTTTGCTAACTCTCCCAGTTTCTCTGTGAAATCAGTATTCTTTTAGCCAAAATGACTGAAAAATTAATATATCCTTAAGTCAACAGTATACAACTTGTGGCTCTTGTATAGCTACTATCTCTTTCTGGACTGCAAAATTCTATAATGAAATTTAATAGTGCATGCAATAAGTCATTCTTACCTTCAGACTAGCCCAATTACACAGTATGTATATTTTTAAAATTAGATTTCCTGCTAAAATCCAGAATTGCCCTTGCTGCTATGTGAATATGTTTGCCTGTTTTTTGTGATCTGAAAAGATATGTTTGGTTAAATATCTCTTTTGCCTCTTTAAACTTGTGAAATGGATACAAGGCATGTTCCCTGAAGTGTATGAACAACAGGCAGTGATACAAAAAGACCTTGTGTTCTGTGCTATCCATCACAGAAACTAGGCCCCTCTGATGACTCCCTTTAGACAGTGCTGATCATGTGCCAGAAAAAAATATTTGTAGATTTATATAAACTCCCAAAATATGATAAACTAGCAAGGATTTCTTGAATGAAACAGAATTATACTGCCACCTATGGATTCCTCTTATTTCACAGGAATACTACAAGAATGCCTTTACTTCTGGAGATGGTGGAAAAGGTATGTTCAGAAATCACATTCACTACCAGTTCCCAGAATTGCTGGAAGTTAAAAAAGAGAATTATCAATGAGGAATATGAGATTTTCTTGTATGTACTTATATGTTGAAACACAGTAATTTATGCTGTGAAAACTGTGGCTGCTTGTGGCTCCATCTAGAGTGTGCCTGAGCCTTTTTTAGCCAGTTCTGTAGCTAAGTGTTTTTAGCAGCTGCATGAGAAAGGTCAGTGGAATCCATGGCTTAGTAGTACAAAAAATGGGATTGATTTTTGGCACAACTCAAGAGTTGTGCAATATGAAATAACATCTTTTCTGTGCCTCAAATCCCAGTGTTTTCACCTCTGACCTTTTATTGAAAATAGAATGGGTGTATCTCTGTCAGCTGGCTTGAAAATGTATAATTTGACAGTTAGAATTCATTTAAATGCAGAGTAAAAAGCAATGATGGGAATAAATAATGGGAAAAAATAATGGTGCATTATTTTGAAAGGCACTGCAGGGTGATTTTTCTGATAACTTCACGGTGTAGTGTGCATGAAAACTATAACTGGCCAAAACTGGACTTATTTTAGGATTGTGCTGTGACTCTACAAGATGATTATCTTGCCTAAAGGACAGTGAGTCCCCAGTAAATGGAGTCAGGTTTTAGGGGACACTGCATGTTAAGGTACAAACCTATTTGCAGATGGCAATTGATGCTTTTTAACAATCTCTCCAAGCCCACCATGAGCTGGGCCATTTCTATGGCTCGAGTTACGTGGCTGCGCCGGACGGCAGCAGGACCCCGGGGCTGTCTCGCACTCAGGACGGGCTGCTGGTGGTAGAGATGGACCTGAATCTCTGCAGGCAAGTCAGTGACAAATGGAACTTCAAGGTAAGCCTGACTATAAAGGAAGTACAATATTAGAACAAACAAGCTTTGGTAATGATTCTTTGTGGTTGTCGGTTTCTCTGGGTCTGGATTGAAGGCACTTGAGACAGTAGTTCATGTTGGGACTCAGATTTTTATTATTTCTTATCAGTAAAACAGTCTCACTGCTGTGAGTTCAGCAGCTTTTCATTAGAAGGCACAAAATGGCCAACAATCTCTTGGTACAAAGTCTTTTAAGACTGAACTATCCAATTAAGAACTGACACCTGGATTATTTTCCCCTTTAACCTGATAACTAATCCCAAAGAGCCTGCAATGCAGACTTTTCTGCCCAATTACAACTGCCACCCAAACCCATGAAGAAGGAAGAAGAAACAGGAAGAAACCCAGGTCAACACCCTGTGCTCTCCATCTTGCTTCCATCCACAGCATACTAAAAATCCCAAACCCTAAATTTCTCACCAAGATTCACCTACGCTATTCTCTGTAATCTCTTTCACATTTTGTGGATTCCAGTCTATCTTGAAGTCTGGGAAACTTTCTCCATGGATGAGGGTCAAAGTCAGAGCTTCCCTGGGGATCAGGGCACCCCAGAGCAGACATAGAAATATTCCCAGTGCCCTGGGTTTCCACAATTCTATGATGTTACAATAGTTAAAAGGCAGCCTTTCTTTTTAATTTTTTTTAGCAGTTCAGAGCTTAAATTGTTGAAGTAATTTAACAGGAGGTTATGGAGGCCAAAAGCATAAATGGATTTGGAAAAGGAGTAGCTAAATTCAGGGAAGCTAGGCCAGTAGCTTTCAGATGAAAACTCTAGCCTCAGGACCTTAATGTGGACTGCCAGCAGCTCTGAGGATTGGTGGGGAGGAGTTTTGCTTTCCTTGTGCAGTGAATGCAGCCATTTGTGCTGAGCTGAGCCAGGCTCATTGGATCTATCTAACATGGTATATATTCTTAAAGACCTTAATTGTCACTTCTGGTGAAATTTAGTGAAAACCCAAACCCACAAGCTTGAGAACTTTCTGAAGGCAAAATTCTTGCAATGTTAACTTCCTGAATTTGTGGATATGTTGAAACCACAGAGAAAGAGCTGTGTACTGTATATATTCATGTCTGAAGCATCTTAACACGCGTTTGAATTTATCTCAATCAGATTAAGATAGCTGCTAGCCACTCCACATGGCTTTAACAAACCTTATTTATTACAATTTTTTTGTATTCTGAGGTAAAGCTAATTGGTTCATCTTTCCAGAGGACATGATTGGATTTAATTTGTCCAGCAGCAGTGCTGGTTGAAGAAATGCCTGCTTCAGTACAGCAGCTTGCTAACCCTTCAGTTGTGCCACTACAAGCTGTGTGGGTGCTCTATTATATACTGATTTAGTGGAGTGAGCAGATTGATTTTTTTAAACAAAAGACACTCTAGTTCCTTTTTTATTCTGATCAAGTTTACAACAGGCCACACAAAGATCCCGTTGGAGCAAAAAAAAGTGGCAACTCTGGAAATAGACTTTGTTGATGAAGAAAACATCTTGTTTGCTTCTGTGGAGACAGATGTTTTGTTCCAGTTCTCAGTACTGCTAAAGACTAGAAGTTTTTCCTAGTCCCTCTTAAGATCAGCATGGTTTGAATCCTAAAAACATAGACCAGAACTCCTGGCCAGCAGCTGTACAATACATGTAGGTTCTTCAGTGATCACCTAGTTTTTAAAATAAGTAATAATTTTCAAGGAGTGTCAGTTTTTGAACATCATGCTACTGCAAGCAGACATTTATTTTATAGAGCTGCTTTATTTGTCTGTTGTTCATTACAGTGTGGTGCAATATTCCACGTGTTTTGATGTCAGATTGACATAAAAATGAAAAGTCTGTGGATTTGAAATGCTGAATAAGCTTTCTAATTAAAAAATAGTAATTTCTTATCTACAGCACAATTTCTTTGCTAATACTGCTAATCCATACGTAGGGACTAAAACCAAGAAGTAATTTCAGGTCATCTTCTGGAGCAGAATTGCATTTGTTGTTTTACAGATGCCTGTGGTAGGCATGTGGTTGTTGCCTTAATGGAATTAAGCTGTGCTGAAAGATCCGTAGCCTTTCACATCAGGCACGCATTTCGTTTTGCTTTGCCACGAGTCTGAGGCCCTTCCTCAGTGCAGAGCAGAGGTTTGGTGTGTCAGGAAGCACATGGAGCATTGCTTCTGCCCCCTTAGCAGGGGTATCTGAACAAAAGCAATTGTATTGATTGGGAAAAACAAACAGGAAAAGCAAAACACTGCCCTTTGGCTGATTTGTGTACAATTGTGTATTTTTGTTGTCTTCAACTCCTGTGCTTTCAGCACCTTTATTTCATGCTGATGGTTTGGAGTGCTATTGTTGGGTTTTGGCACTTCAGGCACAGCTGTGGTTTTGTTTATGTGGCAGGGTAGAGCTGTTTCCTTTTCCTCTGAGTTGTGACCAGGCCAGAGGTGGTTCTTGCTGAGGGGAATGAGGAACAGTGGTCACAGGTTTTCTCACCCACTTTAACAGGAACCGAATTAACCTGCTCTGGTGTCTGCAGTTTGCACCCAGTGATACCTGAAAGGGACATTCAGTAGAATGGCTTTGCTAAACTTAGGGCAGCAAAGGGGTTAAACAAATTAAATAAAGATGTGATTTGCCTCTCTCAGAGCCCATGTTGTGGGTTGTGCACTCAGAAGAGCACAATGGCACTACCTCAGGTGCTGTATTGCAGCACTTCCAGCGCTTGCTCTGTTGCCCAAACCACTGATATTTTGTATTATTAATGGGTGAAGCAGAGTAACCCAAACAATGTCAGTGGCATATATGCAAACTTGCTGCTGGCAGCAGGGTTCTCTGGTTGTCAAGGACATGACATGGAGCCCTAATTACAGAGACACTCCTCTGCCTTCACTGACATGACTTAAAATTGTTGATCCAGAAGAAAGCAAGTCCACTTTTCACATTCAACTTTCAGCTGTCCAGAACAGCTATAATAAGTAGGGAGTCAGTGGACATGACTGTCACTGAAGGAGAGCTGCAAAATAGGAAGGTGTTCATTTAAAACTTGGACTTTTTAGGATGGAACTACACTTCTTTTTTGGATAGAAATACAGTCCTAGGCAACATAATATGAGTTTTTTCATTTAAAAAAAGTTTTTGTAAAAAAAAAGTTCTTTTATAAAAAAAAAGTTTGTGCTAAGGCACTGGAGATCTTGATTTTGAGGAAATTATAGTTTTGATGTTTGGGACAATGAAATCATATATTGTCATAGGGAAAACCAGCCAGTAGATAGAAATATTTTCTACTGAAGTACTTCTGTAGCTTACTTGAAAGAACTGAAGCTTTGATTTTTCTTTTCCAGATGACTGGTAGATATGAAATGTATGCAGAAAAGCTTGCTGAAGCAATCCAGCCTTTCTTTATACCCAATATCATCAAAGAGTAAGAGAGAGCATCTCATTACACTCAAATGTTACAGGACAAATTCAAAGTTACTGTTGGATTATAGCTTTACAGTGTTGCTGTTTTAATGTTCAGTTTAATTTCATGTAACCAGTTTTAAATAATAGGAGTCAGAACTGTGTTAGGTTAGATAATTGAAAATGGCTTTTTAAGTGTTTGTCATTTACACTAATGAGTCTAAAGTTGTTCCTTGCTAGAGATACATGCAGTGTTTTCTAGAGCAGATACACACAGAGTGTACTGTGGTAGAATTGATGGGATGAGTTCAGAGGACATGAACATTTTTACATTTTTAAGCTTTGCATTGTGCATCTGTTTCTGCTTTCTGGTTTTTACCCTCTGCCCAGATGCATAATTTAGGGAGAAATGAGGCAGAAATTGTTTTCATCTGGGTTTTGTTTGCTTTTTCTGCTTACAAACTACTTGATGCAATTCACTTATAGCTGGGTAATGTACCAGCTATCCCAGTTGTGTGAAGATCTGTGGGTGCTGTAAAGCAGGACTGCTTTGGTTCTGTTGCCTTTACACAACCACAGCTGGAGCTGTCTTTGCAGGGCCCCTTCTAGGTGCAGAAGTCTTGTTCAGGGAGATGCTTTGGTATCTTCTGAAGCTCAGTGCCCTGAAGGGGAGCAGAAATAGAGACCCTGGCCAGTGCACAGGCAAGGCTGGGGCACTTGCCTGCTTTTCACTGTGAACAGAAAGCTCAGGATGGGTAAGGAAGACTCCTTCCCTGGGGCTGCACTCCAGTAGGATATGTGGTGGCTGCAGAGTACACAAACCAGCTCTGGAATAAAGGTAGTAATGATACATTTGCTGTTCTTAGGTAGTACTGAAATGTTAGTAGTATATTTAGTGTTCTTAGGTGGTATTCTGAAATTTCTGCTCTGTATGATTTGGGTGATGGCAATGAGTGTTCAGGCAATGCAGGCTGAATACAATTTACACCCCAGCAACTATGAATTTGTAGCTAGTAATAGTAATAAATATTTGAACTCTTGTTTTTGTTTTTCTGAATTACAATTTCAGAGTTTCAAAACCATTATTTCTAATAAACTTATTAATAAATGCACTTGCTACGTTATGTTACCAGGTTATTTGTGAGTTTAACCTTTATTGAGAATGGCTTAATTACAAATAAAAATATATTTATGTATAAAATCCCTGCATGTAAAATCCCCTTCCTTTGCTATTGACATCCTGACAGAAACAAAGCAACAGAACATTTTCAGAGTGTTTTGATAGACAATCTTGTAATAGGAAACAAAGTTTCAGAAAATGCAGGTGGTTCTGGGTGCTTGTGCAGTGAGCTGCTTTTTCAGTTGAATTTGTGTCACATACTCAGTTTTTCACTGGGCTTTTGCTTCTCCCTTTGTTTTCATCTCTCACAGCCATCTTCCATTTGGCAGCTGTATGAGATCCTGTTGTAGGGGACCTCTCCTTTTGTCTGCTTTGTTTATCTTTCACTTTTGTTGAAGCATTTAAACCCTGAGTACCCAACACTTACCAGTCAATATTGTTACACCTGTGTGTGCACTTCAGAACACTGAGCCTGCCCTTAAATTCATTTTTTCTGTACACCCAGGATTCACTTTTGGTAATGGCAACAGTGAGATGCTGAATGCCAATTAGAAGCCTTTGTAAGAATTGGTTTTATTCAACTAATCAAGCCTGCTCTAAGACAAATCCTGTGGCAGTTTAATGGGATTGAATGAACTACCTACCTGAAAATGCATGGGTTAAGGGGGTACTCTAAGAGCCTGTAGCTTCCATACCTGTTAATTATTAACTGAGCTAATACACTCTCTCAAAATCAAACATCACGATTTTGGCCCTGGATATAAAAATTCCCAGATCAGGAGTTTTCTGTTTATTTACTTTGGAGGAGTTGAAAGGCATTACCTACAACAAACAAAGGTTTTGTGCCTTTCTTCTGGAAGGATTCTGCTGGTGGCACTGATGGACCAGTTCTCCACAAATCACATCCTACCTGTTGCTCATCGCTGCCAGAATGTATTTAAACTTCACCAATGATAATCGAAATCTGACACACAAAACTTCCTGTCATGCACTTTTGTTTGGAATTTTTTTAAGGGTTACTGCATTTTAGATGTCTATTACTATTTATGCCTTTGTACAAAGGAGCACTCTTGATTCTAATAAGTATTTAGTCAACACTGTGTACTTTTCAATTAGTCAACAACTGATAAAAGAAAATGTTTATCCTGGTAAAAAAACTTTCTATGCTGAAAGTAGATTCCTATTTATTATATCCACAGAGTTTCAGAACTTGAACAGTTCTTTTCCTAAAACCATGCCAGAGATGTGGGACCTCTGCCTTAAGTGCAAACTTTCCTAGTTTTATGTCAGTGCTGATTTTCCTACTCACTTTCATATAGGCAGGACTGAAGATTGAGACTGGTAAGAAATTAGGATGGATGAAGCTGAAATAAGTGGTTTTTTCTTACACTTCAGAGTGCTCCTCAGGTAACAGAGGAAAGGGATATGAATGGGTGTTACCAACAACTTAATCCACATACAGCTGCAGTATAAGAGCTAGAACAATCTAGGTTCCTGCCTTCTTACTTGTAGAAGGTATGTTTGTATTTCTTCTTTCCTTAATTGATTTTAGCTCCTCTGAGAATGTCACTGAACTAATACTAACAGCAAAATTTGGCTCAAATTATGATTTAGCATTTTAGCAATGCAGTAGATGCTGCCAGATATTTACACTTTACACACAAAATATATACCATTAGTGTGGATGACAATTTTCTGCATTTGCTTAATAAGTATAAATATTTAAAATATTCATATTTAGAATGGATTCTGCAGAAACTGGCACATGTGGGTGGCATAATATTCAGAGCTTTTTGCAAAGAGCAGTCAAGACTTCCCAGTGCAAATAAAATCTTTCCACTTAAAGTTTTGGAGCAATGTGGAGTTCTGAGCAGTCATCCAAGAGGATTTAGCCAAAAGAAACTGAGTTTGTAGTGCAAGGGAGTAATTCCAGTATTGCAGTTGCATAAATGGTAAATCTCTGTGAATTTGGTAGGTGGGAAGTTTCCTACATTGCAGACAATACTGATGAACCAGCAAGGCATTTTTTTCTTATTTAAAGATGGTTTAAATTAATAATTTTTTTCCTTTTACAATATTCTGCTGAATTTCAAATCCATAGGTTTTGTATGAAGACCAGCCCTTCATGCTTTGACAGAGAGAGAAACAGGTATTTTCTATTTTTTCCTTTGTTTACCTAAACCTATGCAAATATTACCAAGTGTTAAAATGCATAAATTTGGTGCTTTTTCTTATGTGTTTAATCTGAAAATAAGCTGAAAGTGAGCAGGCTCTGGGCCTGTATTTTAGAACTGCTGTCAAATGTGCAATTTTGAAAATTAGGGGAAGAAAAAAAACCAAAGACAGATATTGCAAAATCAAAAAAAAAAAAGAGAAAAAGGTAAAGACAGCATTGCAATATAGTCCTGTCAATGTCTGTAAAGCCTCCCTTGGTGAGGGTCCCACTGCAGTCCAGGAGTGAGGTGTGTGCAGGGGAGTCCTGAGACGAGCAGCCAGCTGCCCTGCAGGCTGTGCAGGAAGGAGCAGGAGTGTCTGGTGGGTGTCAGCTGTCTGTGTAGATGAACAGAATATCTTCATCTGTGCCATAACTTGTCCTGGCTTCCTCAAAGTTACTGATGCTGGTGCAGCATGTTCCTGGCAAGGAGGAGCAAAGTGTTACAAAAAAAATTCAGAAGGATTTGCCAGTGAAAGGTTCTTACATGGGATGTAACAGAATCCACAAACCAAACTAGTGTAGAGACTACACCCAGCAGCTTAGGTTACAGCTTTACTCAGGTGGATTTTTCACCTGAAGTAGTGCTGCAGACAGGTACCAAAGTAGCCATTCTGCACATGGACATTTCAGCACCTCTCACTAACCCATCTGAAAGCCAAACAAGCCAATTGCTAGAATGCCTATCTGAATTCTTCAAGTAAATCACACCAAGAAATGCAGCACTGATCTAATCAATGTGGCAAAACCCTTTATGACAAATTGGGTAGTGATGCTTACAATGCCTGTGCACTGTGAGGGGGGGTCCAGCTGTGGCTCTGTGTCAGACTCATTAGTAATGCCCTGGCTGAATCCATCCAAAAGGGACAGGCTACTCACGGTCAGCATAGGCAGGGTTGTTGTAGTAAATGCTCCCTGAGGCTTTGTTGTAGCCACATAACACAATGAAATGGCCCTGGTAGTCAGGGCTCCTGCAGAAGCACTTCTGTCCAATGGGAAGGAAGCAGCAGTATTTGACAGGACTTGAGCAGAGATCACACAGCAGCAGGACTGCGTTCACAAGGACAATGGCTACGTGACCCTGGGACAGGTGGTTTTGGATGTCTTGAACAGTTACTGTGCTGCAAGGAAAAAACAGACACACTTATTGAAAGGGGCTGGTGTAAAGAAAGGGCCTGGTGGTGGACAGTGCAGCTGGCACTTTATAGATACATCACAGATGTACTTCTTTATCACAGGTACAGCTCTTTGCTGTTAAACCCTGCAGGCTTTGCTATGGACAAAGCCTGACAGAACCTGCAGCATTCACAGCCTTTTCATTTCATTGCTGCTGCTGAAGTGCAGAGCAACAGGTCTATATTTGCAGTAACACATTCTGAGATGACACATCAGATGCCCCAGACAAGAGAATTAAAGGAGCTGCAACTCAGTAACTTGAGGGACTTCTGTTGTAGGAAAATTTTAAGTGAAGTGTTCTCTCTTGCTGTTAGAAAAGCTTATCTCTGAAACACCAAATCTTTATCCAGTGAGTGGTTAAATGTTGTGTAACCACTAACCAAATTAAGATGTACCCAGATATGCCTGTGTCACTCAGGACTGTGATTCTCCTAGCTGAAGTTTTGAATTGCCTCATATTTTAGGCTTTATTTCTACAGAGAGTAAGTACTCACCAAACACCACCTATAACCTCATCTGCTAAAAGCTGTCCCTCTCTGAGGCAGATGGTGTGTTCCATATGCGTGAGAAACTCATCTCTTGGATCAGTTCCAGATGTCTGTGCTGTGTGCACCACCTGACTGAGCTCATGTGCTTTTTATTTAATCCTTCCCAACTCTGATGCCCCAGCCTCAGCACTGCACAGGTAAATGTGCCCTCTGTCCCTGCCCTTGATCAAGGCCACGGTCTTAAGACTGCAAAAGCAACAGGGACTGTGTGTCCCTTCTGTCCTGTCACAGCTTATTAATTAAAGTGAAGGTGACTCCATGCATGTTAGCAAGGACACTTGATTCTGCTAAATGTAAGTTATGCTCCAGCATTCAGATGTTATTGTGGCTGCCCCATATCCTCTCTTCTTTCCTTACCCCTAATCATTTACCCCACTTTGACAGCAGGGATCCAAATCCAGCTTCCCTATAAAAAGGGATGCAGCTCAACTTGGATGTTTGGTCATTCCCCAATAGGATTTCACTGCTGATTATGAAAATTCTGCAGTTTTTCCATTTGTTCTGGGTTTGTAGTTCTTATTTCATGGTCTCCTTGGCAAAAGCTCCTCTGCTAACTTGTAATTTGCATGTTTGTCTGGGAACAGAGATCCATAATGTTTGCATAGCTCTGGGAACAATGAGTTCTGTACCCACACAGCATTCCCCTTAATTCCAGCTATGGCCAATTAGAGTGCTGAAGGCACTCCCTACTAAGTGTAATGGATAACCAAATTCAGAACACAGTCAGCTCCTATCAGCATTTTCTTATCACTTATTTTGCATCATGACTAATTTTTTTTCAAACTTCATTATTAGGTCTTGATGTGCATGAGGTTTTTTTGAGACAGATATAGGAGAAAGACACTAATTGGTAAAAAAAGGCCTAGGGCTTGATTTCAGTCTCTTTCAGTGATTTAGCTTGGTGCCTCCAAGAAAAGCAGGGGCCCACAGAATCTCCAAAGAGAAAGAAAACAGCTTACCATTTCTCCACCAGCACCTTGCAGTCTTTGGCTTGTGCAAAGAGCTGATTCACTCGATTCTCTTCTGTGTCAAAGTGCTTCCTGTAAAATGACTGTGGAAATAACAGAAGTTCTGAACTGGAATGGTGTTTACCTTGGGTAATCCACCACTTAGAGTCTGCTAGCAAGAGCCTGCATAAGTTGGAGCTCTGGCTATCGGATAAAAGATCTTTCCCTTGGCTTGCTGGAAACAAGACAAGGATTTCTGCTCTGAATTACAAATTAAATTTGCTCCTGGTCAGTTACTGTTGCAGTTTCTATCCAGTATTGAGCTGTTCAGCTGCCTAGGTAAGAGAAGCCTGTCTGGTTTCCCAGGGGAAACTGGGCAGGAGCTTGCAGTAAAGTCACCACTGCTACAGGCCCTGGAGAGGCCAAGCTCTCCGTGGATGGGAGGCTGAGTTCCCCTCTCACCTCTAGAGGTGGATCTTCCAGGTCAAGGCTGAGGCACGGTGGTGGGGAAAGTGTGGAAGCTAAACACTGCTGCTGCCCAGGCTGTACCTGTTCTGTAGATAAATACAGGGCTTCAGTCTCCAAGGCTGTCAAATAGGTTGGAACCTTTCATGAACACTACATGCAAACTTTTTAAAAATTCAAAAGATGGAATCAGTATGAGATCATACTGCCTTTGGAACAGATCTGTGGCAGTTTTGGCAGTAGGTCAAATTAAATGTGGTTGACTGTCAGTAAGACACCAGAGCTTTTACAGCATGACACTCAAGGCTTTTAAAGCTGCCTGCCCTCCCCCTGTAGATGAGAACACTGACCTGGTTTTTGTAGCCCTTGTCCACTCCGAGTGTCTGGGTGCAAAATTTATGCTTAACTCCGAAGTGCCGCATCAGGTAGGCCAGGTCAATAGTCCAGATACTCTTTGTTAACTGGAGATCCTGGATGGCTTTCTGAAACTCATCATTGTCCAAATGATTCAGGTACCTACAGTATCAACAAAGGCAGGGGAAGGGAAGCACAGATCTTAGGAGAAGCAAAATGTGTGCTATAGTCCAAGCCTCTGCGTCACAGCACATAAAAACTGAAACAACAGGCTTGGCTAAGAAATAACCAAAAAAAAAAAACAAAACCAAACCAACCCACAAAGGAGACAGAAATTTAATGGAAGGGAATAGGGAATATTTAACTGGATTTAATGCTGACTTTTTAAAATTGGAAATATGTGGTGCCTTGACTGTTTCAGAGTGCTAGAAGTGTACAGGTGCTGTACCAGAGTCAAGCTGGTATAGAACTCTGTCCTGAAGGGTTTACAGTGTAATGTACAAGTGTATTAGAGCCAACACAGAAAGAAGAGTTAAAGACTAAAACTTCCTTCACACAATAGATGGATTTTAAAAGGAGGAGCCATAAAGGAATTCAGTAAATATTCAAAGGAAGCTTGTCTTAGGCACTGAAGACACAAAAGGAAGAAAGTGGGAGATGGAAGTCAGGAGGAAGCTTGGGACAGGTTGCAAAGGGGCAGGGCAAGGTAGCTACAGGGAGTTCTGAAAGTAAGAAAACAAATGGAAGTAAATGATAAAAAAGAAAAAGCAACTGGAATTGAGGATGCAGGGCAAACAAGGTCAGATCAGCAGGGTAAGAAGATTAATCTTGGAAGCTGAGTTTTGGGCAGACTGGAGTGGCAAAGAGGTAAAGGGAATAGAGGTTACAGTAGTCAAGATGGGAAATTACCAGCATACGGACTAACGTCTTGGCAGAAGGGATGGAGAGAAATGAAAATCTTCTGCTTCATATCTACTAAGTGGACATCTAAATAGGTATTTCTCCTGCACCTAAGCTCATGTTCCTCTGTGGAAGGAAAGAGGAGTTCAGCAGGACAGCTACTAGTTCAAAAAACCAAAAATAAACAAAAAAAACCCCAGAGGGCAACACAATTTTGAAGCTGAAACTACTCCTGGAACACAAACACTCATCCCACAGGTTGGGGCTCAGCAGGACAGAGGCAGTACAGGTACAGCACACACTCATAAACTGGGATACACCTACCATCACTTGAAAACACAGAAAGGAATCAGATGAGTCACAGCTAACCTAACCTAAAAACTATCATTTCTTAATTGTAACAACAGGAAAGAAGCAACCCTTTCTATGAGCTTATGCATGCCAGCCTGCAAAGTTCAGAGAGCTGATTAGGTATTCTGCATCTGTGTAATTATTCAAAAGGGTCCGAAGTTCACTCCAGTTTATGTTTTCCCTTGCTCCTGCTGGAGAGCTGGGCCCAAGCAGCAGTCACTGTCCAAGGGCACCTCACAACCTGCTGTTCTCCTAAGACTGAACTCATGGCTGCTCCAACACACCTCTTCTCCCTGGATTTGCTTCCTGCTCCCCCTCCCCATGGAATGGCATTTCCCACTCAGAGAGCCACTTACTGAAGCACCATCCTGGAGCAGGCCAGCCCGCAGTCCCAGTGGTACAGCTGCTGAATCACGGGCACTTTCAGCTGGATGCAGTCAGCTGGGTGAGCAGGACACAAACAATGTCAATCCATACAGGAATGGTTTTCCATGCCACCAAAAGTCAGCCTGTCCTCAGCACTACAACCATGGGAACTTAGGAACGTGGTTTTGCCTGACTGGAAGGTGGATTTTTTCTTTCTTAGTATTTCTGTACAGGTAAGAATCTGGTTTAATCTCTTTTTTTGTTGTTGTTCCATACCTAGATCACTGGCTTTCCACCCCTTTTCCCTTGGAAATTTTGGTGTTTTTTTTGGTTTTATGGGTTTTTTTGGTGGGGTGATGTACCCACCACCCCTCAATTGAAGCTGTGTCTCCTCCTGGATAACAGCAGGTAAGACACAGGTATTCATCTTTTCTCTTGCGTCTGACTGTACTTCTGTGCCACAAGAGGAGTTCAACCAAACTGGGAGAAAACATACCAAGATCTCTGTGCATGAATCTCTTAGATGCCCCACAGATTTCTATAGATGCCTTTATTTCTCAAGAATGGTAATCTACAGGCTTTAAACAAAACAAGTTAAAACTCGCAAGTTGCACCATTGTCCTTTTGTATTAATTCCATCAAAATATCAATAGAGAGGGAAAATTAATAATCTCTGCCAAAAAGTCCCAAAATACAAGCTCCATCCTCAGCCTCAGTTTTTTATTTTTATGGAGCTGGCAATGTGGTGGTTTCAGTTTCACCACAAGCAGGACTTGAAGGGTTGTGCCTGTCATTGCTACTTCAGCATTGACCAAAGTGAGTTAATCACAAATGGCTTTTCTCAATAACCTTTGATCTCGAAACGGCCTTTGACAAGTTTTGTTAACAAGGTCCTCTACATTTTATGATGGGAGTAAGAATGCATTTGACATCACGTGGACTTGTTTAGTTTTGGGGTAATATGATTTATAGAACTTTTTAGATAATGTTGTTATATTTTTCCTAGTTGTGCCCCCATTTAATCATGACTTTAAAGAATGGTGCACCAGTTTAAATATATAGTCTTTTAAATTCATCTACCAAGTCCCACATTAACCAAGGAGTACGTGTTTTCTACATGAAAGCTTCAGAGAGCAATAACAACTTTTCTGGGCCGCCCAGCTGCCAGTCACCTGTTTCCCAACACACCGAGAGCTCTTCAGCGATGGCTGTGGCTGTCCCAAGAGAGACCAGCCCGTCTGTGCCGTGCCTGTAAACCACCCTGCGAACTCCTCTGTGCTTGGCCAGCTCCCGCCGCCCCGACATTACGGACGGAGGCGGTAATTCTCCACCGCTGCTAAGGGCAAACCCGCAGCCCCGCGGCTCGGCAGCACCGAGAGGCCGCCGGGAGCCCCGGCAGGGCCCCGCGCTCCCCGCCCGCTCCCCGCCGCCCGCCGGGCGCTCTGCCAGCCCGTTCCGCGGGGCGGACTCGGCCTCCCCGCCGCCCCCTGCCCGCAGAGGCCCCGCCGGCCCGAGCGGGGCTGGGCGGGCCGCACTGACCTGGCGGCGGCTCGCCGGCCTCCCGGGGACTCTTCATGGCCCGTTCACTGCCGGCCCCGCCGAGCCGGCGGCGCGGCCCCGGGGCCCGGCGCTGGCTCCTCCCGGAGGCGGGGGCTGAGGGGGGCCGGGCCCCGGGGCGCTTGCCCCGCGCCGTGGCGGCGAGGAGAGCGGCGGGGTGTGAGGGCGGGCAGGGGCATGACACGGCGGGCGGGGGACGCGCAGCCCTGCCCCGGAGCCGGGGCACCGCGGGGCTGCCGGGTTGGCCCCGAGCGGGAGCGGACGGGACGAGGCCGCGCCGCCCCCCGCGCTCGTTCCGGTTCCGGCGCGCGGGGCAGGGCGGGAGGCGGCGGAGGCCATTAGGGAGAGCGGCGCGGGCGGTGAGTGCGGTGCGGGGCTCTCGGCTCCCTGTAGGGCACCCCTGCTCCATGGGCGCTCTGGGGAGGTGCCCGCGCGGTGCCGCATCCCCTGAGGGGCCAGAGGGGGCCGGGTCGGAGCGGCGAGGTGCGGGAGGGCTGGGGTGGCCGCGGCTCCCTCACGAACGGGCCCGGGGCCCCCGAGCGCGGCCGAGCTGTCCGCGGGGTTCGCAGGGGCCGTAACGCTGTGGGATCCACCTGGGGCCCTTCCCTTGGAGGTACGAGTGGTTTGTTCTGTGGTCCTTAACAGTGAATTTCCCAGAAGAGACCTGGAAAAGACTGGCTGCTGATGTTTAACGTCTACATGGGCACGTCTCTAGAGAAGCGTTATCGATGCATAGTCAAAACACATGTTGTGTTAAAAATGTCAAAAAATTGGTTCGTCACACTACTGGAAGGGATGATGGATTGTGTAATTGGAAGTTATTCTACATCTTTCTTTGTAATAAACGCTTTTGTTTTCCTGGTGCCTCAGGTGTAGAGCCCCAGCACTGCAGCCATGTCGATCGGAGTGCCAATCAAGGTCCTGCACGAGGCCGAGGGCCACATCGTGACCTGCGAGACCAACACTGGAGAGGTTTATCGAGGCAAACTTATCGAAGCTGAAGACAACATGAACTGTCAGGTATCTTTTGTTTCACAAGGATGGAGGGAAGATTGGCTGATCTGGGCCTTGGAAGGCTGAAAACTTGATTAAAAGACTGTTGCTTTTAGTTCTGGGATTAAAAAAAAAAACTGTACTGATGCTGTTTTTTACTGTGGTGAAGTGGATTCAGCGTTACAGAAGGCTCCAAAGAGGCCAGAGCTTATTTCCAGTTTCAGAGTAGGATTGGGCATCCCTGTCAGTAGGATCAGAGATTTTTAAGTCTGTCCTGTGAACAGTGTTTTTCCAGGGTCCTTTGTTTAAAGTCACTGAGTATAAGAATAAAAAAACCTTGATTTAAGAAACTGAAGCTTATTTAATGCACATTACTATAGTCATTCCAAGAGGGCCTGACTTTGACTTCAGGCAAGTGCTCGTGGAAATCAGAATGCTTTCCTAATAGTAAGTACTAGAAGAGCTTTATTAAAACTATTTACATATAAGAAAACAAAAATAGTGATGCTGATAAAGCTGATTTGTAAACTGGTGAGAAAGCAAAAGTCCTGGGTGTGTTTGAATGGTCATGATGCCTTGTGTCACTGTCTGAGCACTGACTGATTTTTCCCTTGCAGATGTCCAACATAACAGTGACATACAGAGATGGCCGGGTGGCACAGCTCGAGCAGGTCTACATCAGGGGCAGCAAGATACGGTTTCTCATCTTACCAGATATGTTGAAGAATGCTCCTATGCTGAAGAGCATGAAGAATAAAAACCAGGGTTCTGGAGCTGGCCGAGGGAAAGCAGCTATTCTTAAAGCTCAAGGTCGGTACAGTTTGTTCATGGTCCCTCCCCCTGTTTTTCTGTAGAACTGGAAAACTCATCTCTGTCACTGGGGAGATTAAGCAGTAAGAAGTGGAAAGATTACTGGTTCATACAGTGTTTTTCTCTATGTTTTATCTTAAAGTGAGAGTCAAGACTCAAATTGTCCCAATTAACTGAATGTGTAGTATTGATGCTGCAGTAATTTAGAGGTAGTGGGTAGTCTTGTTAAACAGAGCCTTTCTGTTAAAGAGGTCTGTTCTCTTGCAATTGTGGCCACCAGCTGTTTGAAGTGCCTGGGGAAGGATTCATGTGTTCTTGTTGAGCTGTTGTAGGAAAACAGCTTTAGTTACAAAGTTACTGGGGAGCTGTAACTATTACCTTTTCTGTAGTTCACTCTCATTTGTGCCTCCCTCAGGGGATCAGTCTGGTTCTTAGGTAGCTCAGTAACAGTCATGTGCCACAGAGTCCCTGTTTAACTGCAGTGTGCAGTAACGTTTGTGTGGGGGAGTAACTTACTGAGTAGTGTTACAAAACCTTGCAAGAGCGTGGGGTTCCAAGTGTCTTGGGTGGCACAGATTTGTGTGTCAGAAGGAGCATGAGATGTGTGAATATCTGCTGCAGTCGTTCTGAGGAGCTGTGGGGCCATTAGGATCTGGCTCTTCTCACAGAACACTTTGTGCTCTCACATCACTTTCTGAGCATTTCCTGCCTTCTGAGCAAGAGACGTCGAGTTTTGTTGATGTTTTGCTTGTCACTTGTTGAGATAAATGTGCAGGCATGTCAAATTCATGTCATCACTGGTGTTTTCTTTCTTCAGTGGCTGCAAGAGGAAGAGGCCGTGGGATGGGCCGTGGCAACATCTTCCAGAAGAGAAGATAATTTTGGTCTTGGCTGAATTGCTTTTTTTATTAGGGGTGTTAACTTGACTTTGTGTGCATTGGTATCAGTTTTGTTTAATAAATGTTTCTGACAAAAACTTGTCTGCTCTTACCTGACAGGACAATTATTGGGCAAATATTTCAAACTCAAGCCAGCTTTGGAAAATAGTGGACTTTGTTATAACTAGTTTTGACCACTTTGTGTAATGCATTGGTTTTTGAAGATTATTATGTTTCTTTTTTCTTATTTAGTCCTGCTCTCATTTATTCTCTAAAGAATTAGAAGGCATTCTTAATGAAGAATTTTAAGTCATACATTATAAAGTCTTATTAGCAGCTGAATTTATGGAAAATACAGCAAAACAGAGGCAGCTTCCTGAGAAGCAGAGCGCTGTGTTCTTTAGCTTTATATGGACCTACAATAGATAGAGGTCCACCTTCAGATCTCTATATTGAACTTGTATTCTTGCATTTCTTTCTCTTTGGATATGGGGAGAATTTTTCATTAGGAGCACACAACTTTGATAGCCTGAATCTATATTTGCAGTGAAAAAATCTATTCTGACTTTCTTAGCAGTTTTTCCCTGTGTCTGGGAAAAGATGACAGAATATAAAATAGGCATTTTCCAGGATAAGTTTGAAATGCTTTGTAAATTTGAAAGGCAGTGCAGGTGTGTGAGAAATTTTATAAAGAGTTATCTGTTAAACACAACTTGATCCAAATGCTGATTTTTGAACAAAACTCACTATCAACTTCAGCTTTTGATCCTATTGTCTGTACACAGTTGTGTATAGATCAGCTGATCTGCAGGAAGCCAAATCTAGTTGTAACTTCATTAACGTGTGGCCTGGGTGTTTTTACTGACTTAAATGGTTGAAATGTTTCAATGTAACCCTTGTGTACCTAATCTCCTACTTTCATAAGGTCTATTACCAGTCTGTACACACACAAAAAGCTGCTCTTGCTTTTCTGCCTGGATGCTGTGAAGACTCTCCCTCGTGTGCAGACAGGAAAGTTGAACTAATGTATTAACTTGTTGAATTGTGTGTAAATAAAGCTGTATTTGGTCTCTAGGGAAAGCCCTGCTGCATGTTCTTTTGGGTGGCAGCGATCCTGAATATTTGCAATGGAATCCTCCTTCTTAGAATGTGTGTAAGGGATACTTGAGCTTAACTCTAAAAGCATTTTAGTGTCATTTTGTACCTCTCATGAGGAATGTGTCCAAAAGATGGCAGTCCTCACAAACAGGGACCATTTCCACTGGTGGTGACTGGCTCACCTCTTCTGAAGTTCTGTTCTCCTTGAGCAATGCCAAGCTGCTGTTCTCTCAGGAGCAGTGGATGTGGCATTCAGCAGCACTGAGGGCGGGGGACAAGCACGAATTTTGGAGAGAAACAGTAACTTTCCTCAGGAGGTTTGATGGAACAAACTGTATCTGCTTTAGGAAGTTTGGAGTAACTTCTCTAATGCATATCAGCTTTGAAGAAGATACTGGATTTTGCAAAAACAAAAAGCTTTGCGTTGTGGCTTCAGGTTGAGGCTGAGTCTAGGATGAACTCTTCAGAGAGATACTGTGAATTTAGTGTTAAAATGTTGGAGTTTCACACTGGTAGGAAAGTCCCAGCCAAGACAAACATCACTTAGCAATTTCTGACTGAATTTCTGACTGGAGTAGCTGGAATGCTAGTTTGTTACAAGCTGCTTTCCAGTGCCTTCCTGTGCTGTGTGTATTATTTCAGTGTGATAAATAAAAATTTCTTCCTCACAGATGAGGTCTCACCCACTAGATGGCTCTGTTGGGAAGAGAATGAAGCTCAAGAAACCAGAACCCTCTGGAAAAGAAAAATGCGAGAAATGTGACTTCTGCTCTAAAGTCCATAAACTCAAGGGCTGTTATAAACTAGCATGAAAGCACTCACCTTATTTTCTTTCTTCTCCAGTGTTCTGAGTGCTGGCTTCCTGCATGGCTGGGTTTTTCCAGCTGCTGATTGATGCTGTGTTTCCCTGGTACTTGGCTAATTGGCAAATGCACTTAGATCATGCAGATTCCTCAGTTCAGTAATTTAAGCAATCTGTTTCCCTGGGATGGCAGATACTAAGGAGAGATGCAGCTGCTTTTAACATCTGCACTTATTTGTAATTTTTTTTTTAATCACAGATTGCAGCATTTCTTTACATTCTTTGCCATCACACTGTGTGTGGGCTATAAATCTCATGTTCTTCAGTGGGTTCAGGGCTCTCCATAATTTCCTGCTTTTGGCAGAGAGGGACAAGCACTGGCCTAAAACCTTGTTCCAACTTGCCCCTTTGATAACACCAGTGCAGGTGCCTTTGAAGTACTGGTAGGACAGGGAATCTGTACTGTAGGTGTCCA